TTCCCTAAACAGGCCTATTTAACTTCAAGTGCAATTCTTTCCTGGAAAAAGTTCGCTATTGTGACAGTGATTGAAGTAATATAAGTTTCCATAAATTCTTTGTAGTTAACTTGAAAAATCTAAACAAAGCTTCTATGTAAGTAATACTATCAGCATTCAGAATTTAAACATTATGGCAGCAAGCAAATTTAAGTTCAAATGCATGTAAGAGTTGCCAAACTTCCCAAACACCACAATTTGTCTATTTATTATCTGCATTTAAATTTACATTAAATGGGTCAGCTCCATTTTTGTGTTTTGAATTATGATGAAAAGAAAGGTCTGTCTTTCAGAAAACATTCTAATATTAAAGTGGTTTTCTTTGTACATGTCTTTTCCCCTAATACTGGATTGTCTTTTGTTCCATTGCATTTCTAAACTAGAAAAACTGCATAAGAACTCTATCTCTGAACATGTGTTGATGCCCTGAAGAATTCTGGTGAGCTAGAAACAGTCCCACATTTTGTTTTCCAATGCTATTTTTACTTCCTAAGTAAAAGTTACCTTGTCAAGGGCACTCATAAAGTGTTGATCACCATTCAAAACAGTGTTGATGAGTTGAACAAATTTACTATGTACTTCCAAAACTGACTCCACAAACTGAGTTGGCATCTAAAAAAGGTAGATATAACAGAAGGAAAGTTATTGAGAAAAGTAGTATTATCTACACACAAAGATATCTTAGTTGTACATTTTTTCCTAATTATTCTTTTTGACAAAAGTTAAAATCATAGTGAGTAAGTCTTTGAGAGGATTGATTCTGCATTGTTGTACTCCTACAATGTGCTTGGCATGTTTTGGAAATAAAAAGTCTGTGGCTATATTTACAGTTCTGCTATCAAATAGATTTTAGTCTATACTGCTCTCATGCTGTCTAACCTTTTCCATCATACCCTAAAATCCTTTATTAGCCCTTTCAAAAATCATTAATGATAACATGTAAATACTGCAATCAAGTCAAAAAGGTACTGAAATAAGTAAACGGCTGTTTCTCCTACACACTGACTTGAGAGACAAAATCCAGATGAACCCTTTGAATTTTCCTATGTAGGGCAGTTACCAGTCAAACTTAGTGCACCACATTTCAGCATAACCTTTTGTATAGAAATGACTAATATGAATTAGAGGAGTCGCCACGCAGACAAGCTGGCAGGCAGCAATGCAAGAGTGTGCAATGCACTGGCTGCATCACACGACTCCCCAAGTGCATTCTCAGGTCACACATTAAAAATGTTTTGATGACAAATTACTTAATCCACACAGGGAAGCAAGTATTTCACGTTTTGAGTTTATCTACATAAGGCTGTAAACGTTCATCACCATCATGGCTCTGCATTCATTTCCCTGTGTAAACACTATTAGTTTGAAAGAATAAGCTCAGTAAACTTACAAATAATTTGAAAGCAAACTATACAACTAAAGATTTCAGCCCATTTTCAGTAAGCACACAGGAGTTAGAGTAAGCTGTCCTGTGCAGTCAATAAAAGAGTGACTTTACAACAGTTTTTATCTATGCATTATTATAGACAGAAACACTGGGTGGCTAAAGTCACCGTCCTAAAGTGAGCACAGATCTAGACAGCAAGATGTACACATGTACAAATATAATGCCAAATGAAAGCAAGCTTGTTTGTTTGTTTGTTTCTGAACAGCAATGCTACAGAAACAAAAACGGAATTGAGTAATTTAAATATATGTGAACTGAAAAAAGTTTAATATACTTTAGTAAAATAATTAAGCTACAGTATTTTCAGAAATGACATGAAAATATGAGACAACAAAGCTATTAGTGAAAAATACCACACTGAAATCAGGACAGGATGTCAAGTCTTTACAAATAACGTATAATTAAACTAAATGAAATCATGGATTCCTAACGTACCAGAACAGCAAACGCCACTGACTTAGAGAAATTCAGGAAAAAAATACATATGTGGAACAAAAGGAACTACCTGCCATGACAGCATTAAACAAACAACAATGAGAAATATCTAGCTGTAGTTGTTTCTGGTTCAATCACAACAATCAACTCTCAGGATAGATATGTGTTGCACAGCTAAGTGTGCTGATTAGAAGTTACAATTTATCCATAATGTTCCAAACCAATTTCATAGAGACAAAATTAAAAAAAAACGGAATAGAATAAAAAGAAAAGGCTGAACATTTCATCAGGAATGTTAATCAAATAGGTAATTTCAGCTGCCTAAGAAAACTCACATTTTCCTGAGAAAGATTGCTGGTTGCTCTAAGGCCCTCATCATGGATATGGTTTTGTAGTTCCTGAATCATATGAGGTAAACCACTTGACACAGCACGAAGTAGAGTATACATATTTGCCATGTCTGTAACAGAGATACATTTTTATAGAATATGCTTAGAAACACTAAAAATCAACACTTAATACAGTATCATAATTTCACACAGAGCTTTTCAAAGACTGAAAAAAGACCAACTGTTTTGAAAAAAAAAATTTAACATACACTGGATCACTGACAAAAGAAAAAAAGGAAAGAATAGGGCTAATATTGGTGTTTTCTGATTACTGCCATTGTGACTACCTCACTGTTCCAACACTGCTTATTTAGGAGAGACTCCAAGAGGAGAGGTGGGGTAGTATGGAAAAGCATTGCATCACTTTGTTGTAATCCCTGGCCTCCCTAAATCTCCCTTAGCAACAGCTGACTAAAAACAGTTTAGATATCTTCGTGACTTTTTGTTTTCTTCCAGTGGTGGCTTGAAATTTTTCTCAGGTTAAAAAAGCTAAAAAGCTGTAAATAAGTAACTGCCTTTTTTTTTTTTTTTTTTTTCAAAAAGGGGATCCAAGTTCTGACCAGTTTTGCAAAACTCTCTGGAAACTGAACACTATTATTAGATACCATTTGAGTTTGACTGTGAAAAATAATTTGTTTCACATAATAGATACCATCTTTCATCCAAGAATAAGCATTCTTTCAAGGGTAAGAGGCATGTAGCCATCAGGAAGCATAATTTTTTTAGTCAGGCAGGGAATATAACTATAAGAGCATCTGCTTCTGTAAACAGGATTTGGGAAGAGAGGTCACAAAAGATTCAGGACAATAAAAAGTGGCTGTGAAAAGAAGCCAGAATATTTTATAATCCTGACCTGTCAAATGATGATGAAGAAATCTGTAAAGACAGAGCCATTGGTTTACAAATGAAAACACAAGCATAAAATATGATCAATTCTACAGGACACAGGACTTCAGTGTGTTTCTAAGCTGACTAAGACAAGGAAAGAGAAAGTGTATTGGCCGAAAGAAGGGTTGTTAAGAGTAAAAAGAAGGTTTTGACTATATATTTGGAAGAATGGTAATAAATTACATGGTAAAAGAAAAATGTCAATCAGGGTTTAATTGGGCTTTCTAGATAAGTAACATATTAGTTGAAAATACTTAAGCGCATAGAAGGTAATTGAATAAAGATAGTAAGTTGCAACGCTAAATGAATAAAACAAAAACCACTTCATGCTTTTTGTGACCGTTGACACTTACCACTTCTTTTCTCTTGTCTAATAATATTGTGACATTCTGCATGTAGGAACTGCAAGTGATCAGCTACCATTCTCTGCTGGCATTCATGAATCACTTTGCCATATGAGCTGGGATGCAAGTATTTCCGACACCGCATTTCTTCATCTTTTAATCTACCTAAAACCTACAGAGAAGTTTTTAAACTGAGAGCTGATGAAATACTAACAACCAATATAAAGACATGAACATGCAACAATGTACGTATGTAGAATGAGAGACAGGAATAAGTAACAAAGTTAAAAAAGAACCTGTCTGGGATGCTGAAAAATTAAGTTTGTTCTTTTGAATCAGGCTATTACTGAATTAATATAACCTTCTACTCTGAGTACTGACTAGGCTCAGTAACTACTAGATGTCTAATAGCACTCAATAGTTTTCTTCTCAAAATTGCTTCTTCCCTTCAACTTTGTGATCAGTCTTCCCCAATTTCTCCTACCGTACTTCTTATTCCTCCTGTGAAAGTTTTACCACAATACCTAATTATAAGAATCACTTCTCTGTTCCAAACCCATCTGCTTGTATGTAAACATCTGCTCAAAAGGTATAGGTATACATCTGAGCTATTAATAAAAACTCTATTTACAACTTCAGTGAAAGAAATAGGCATTATCATAAGTCATGGACAGGAGCTGGCAATGCGCGCTCGCAGCTCAGAAAGCCAACCGTATCCTGGGCTGCATCCAAAACAGCATGGGCAGGAAGTCAAGGGAGGCAATTCTGCCCCTCTACTCTGCTCTGGGGAGACCCCACCTGGAGTCCTGTGTCCAGCTCTGGAGCCCTCGGCACAGGAAAGACATGGACCTGTTGCAGCGGCTCCAGAGAAGGGCCACTAAAATGATCCGAGGGATGGAACACCTCTCCTGTGAGGACAGACTGAGACAGTTGGGGTTGTTCAGCCTGGAGAAGAGAAAGCTCCCGGGGATGCCTTCTTGCAGCCTTCCAGTACTTAAAGGGGGCTTATAGGAAAGACAGGGACAGACTTTTTAGCAGGGCCTGTAGACACAGGACAAGGGGTAATGGTTTTAAACTGAAAGAGGGTAGAGTTAGACTAGACGTAAGGAAGAAGTTTTTTACAGTGAGGCTGGTGAAACACTGGCACAGGTTGCCCCGAGAGGTGGTAGATGCCCCATTCCTGGAAACATTCCAGGGTCAGGTTGGACGGTGCTCTGAGCAACCTGGTCTAGTTGCAGATGTCCCTGCTTATTGCACGGGGATTGGACTAGATGATCTTTAAAGGTCCCTTCCAACCCAAACTATTCTATGATTCTACATCATATGGACACTGACATAGAAGTACTTCTAGCCAGCGAGTATGATGGGAGCCTAGGGAGAGTAGTGCAGCTGCAGACTGCTAATTATAGACAAAATGAATCTGCATTTCTTTTGGTTTAGTTGAAGTCTTAGCCTGCCCCTGAATTTCACCTCAGGTGTGCAACCATTAGTTTATGGTCCTTATGGTTAAAAGCAATCTCACAACCTTCTCCTCAACTCTTCTATCATGTTAGTGTGGACAGTATAGCACAGAGGACTGATTCCTAGTCTTGTATTAACCTTTGCTTTCTCAAGCAAGGTATAAGAGTTAGAAGTAATTTAACCACAACCTTACTTCATACACTACAAAGCAAAACAAAAGAGAATCCACCTCAAAGTATGTAATTTTTAATAACGTTCTGTAAGAACTCTAGCCATTATATTGCCAAAATTCTCATCTTAGGCTGCTACAAGCAGAAGGAAAATAAGGAAGCGAGGAAGCAGTTGTGATCAATCTGCTATGTGTTTCTTTTGGGTTTTGTTTTCTGGGGTTTTTCTCTTTACTTTTCATGCAGTTGATTTATCATTTATTATTTTGAAGCTGATAGTCCAACCATAGGCAAGGTTTGTAGTTTATATTCAGATTAGCCATGCCATCAAAATGCATAATTTAAACTGCAGGAAAGCATACAACAGCAACTATGGAAACTGTACAGGAAAACATGTATCATCAGTAAATTGATAATATTAGATTTTAGTTATTGCAAGAAGAATCTCTTACCTTCTCCATGTACTGTGAGCAATTTGACTCTTGCAATAAATTTGACGCTTCTTGTTTATAATACTCCCCTGTTTCATTCAGAAAAGGACACTCAAAAATTTCCTGATAAAACTGAAAGGGAGAATGTTTTTGTAAAAAGACAAATAATGCATATACTAGATTAACATTCAATATTAAAAACATAAATCAGAAATGTGTATCTACCTTTAGGGGGAATTTTTTCTTATACTGTTCAACATGAACAAAGGAGTTAATAACCCCATGGATTACTTTCTGGTTTGGGTCTTCTCCACAGCGATCACTGAAATAGGCAAAGCAAACATTCATGAGAATGTAGGTATCTAATGTAACTCACCTGATAGCCAGTTGAAATAAAACTGGATGAAAACAATTTCCAGTAAATTCCTCTGCTTAAATTGGCAAAATTGAAGATCAATCTTAAAATAAAAAAATGCACTCTTCTTTCTCTCCTATACATTTAAATTGTTGAGATAGCAATTCATAAACTATTCAAAATCATTTGCAGGTCATGAAATTTCCAAACGTTTGCTAAGGATGTAAGTATTCCAAATTACACACTCTACATTAAGTATTTTTAAAGTTACAGTACATTCCATCTTGTATCTGTAGTCTTTATTAAATAGACTACCTTTACACTCCTGTCCCTGACAAAAAAAATCATTTTTGCCAACATCACACCAAGAGGCACGCTATGTTTTTTTTCCCTAATATCTACTATTCAACATGCAGATGTCAAGTGGAACAAATAACATACTTGGCACATCGTCACAAATTTTAATCATACATTGGAAAAGGAAAACCTTACGTCGTCCAGTCAAGTTCCTAGCTTCAAATGAGCAAGTTCAAGTGAAGAAAATATTACCTTTAGTCCCATTCAGTTGAAATAAAAATTAATTAAAATAACTGTTTTACATGCTAAAAACTTTAGTGTTCACTCCTTTGCAAAAATTGGAAATAACAGACCCACACTCAGAGCAGCACTTTCTTAAAACATGAACTGTTCTAAAAAAGACCGCCTTCCACATATGTTTTACACAGAAGCAAAAAATATTTCTTAACTCCTAAGGTTTTAAGCAGGCCTAAAAAATGACTTATAAAAGCATATTTACACTTAAGCATCAGCAGTTATAAATTTAAAGGTTTTCCTTTTTTAAATACATATGTACACATATATACATGTATATAGAATAAGAACTTCTACTTTACTGCACTGAAAAGTGAGTTCTCTGTTACAAACTTATGTTGATTGGTATGGGAGAGTCATTTACATGAATGATTTAAAAAAAATTAAAAGAAAAAAAAAAGTAAAGCCAGCAAAAATACTTCAAACCCAAACATTAGCACATACCCATCTAGGCTGGGATGGAATGGATGAGAAATAATTTTGCTTATTTCATTCATTTTGGATTGGAATTGATAAAAACTCCAGAGGACGCCCATGAGCCAGGGAGGTTTACCAGGACAGCCACACCAGCAGCCGTTATATTAAATTCACCAGACCATATTCATATGTTCACAACACTGTTAATTCTGTGTATTTCTTTTAAATACTATTGCGTCCTAAGATCTGAAAACTTCAGCTCATGATGGGTAGAAGGAACTAGCTCTCTAACAAATTACGAGCAGTCGCTGTATGGTTTATGCAGCTTGGTCACCCATTACAAATGAGCTGACCTAATGGGTAACGGCTCCAGCAGCAATGGTCTGATTCTTTTCTTCTGGGGGACAGGAAGGTTTCCTCTAGTTCTAGTAGCTGAACCACTAGAATAAATCTGGGTTTCGGTACAAAGATCCCTTCCAACCCAAACTATTCCATGATTCTATGCAATCGGCCCCTGCATTCTTGTCAATGTCTCTCTGCTGGGTCTGGTTATATGATGGCAGAGGCAGCGGCATGTCACAGAAGGGAACAAGTGTAACACCAGACCAGGGCCTGGACCCCGCTCCATCCCAGAGGAGCCCAGGAGTAAGCTGCGGTCTGTGAACACAGCACAATGTCACAGAGTGCAGGAAGCTACACACTGAAAGTTAAGCATGTTACAAAGCAGGACTCTGTCAAGAGACTGTCCAGTCCACCTCTAGCATGTGGGGTTCTGGACCCGTAAAGATACTGGTGACACAAACACAAGAAGCATTACTGTAGTAACAGGTGAAGACCCAGCTCCCCTCTGCTTAGGTCACAGGCCATTTCACAGACCTTAGCCCACAGAGATGCTGGAGCAGAGCGGCCAACAAAGGTCAGGCCCCCGGGATTCGAAGGTCAATGTATCATTAGGAAAAAGCTGTAGAAGTACAGGAGGCAGATGCTCCATGGAAGAGCTGCAAGGGAGGAGATAGGCTTTTGAAGTAGAGGCCAGACAGCACCAAGGTGATAGATGAAAAGGAATACAACTTGGAACCAGCCTTGTCTGCCTTTTGGGTAGCTGGTAGTGCACAACAAAGAGAAAGAGTTTAAATCCACTTCTGAATACGGAGCTAGTGAGTTGCCAATCAAATAACACATTTGGAACAACTGCCAGGATCAGGCAAACTTTTTTTTTTGAAACAGATGCCCACACTCCCCACTTTTTCCCCCCACACTTGCAGAACTTTAGGTAGCATATCATAGGCTTCCTCAGTGAGTATTATACATTTACAGCAATGCCGTCACGAAATTTGTTGACAGGTGTTATGAACTTCTTCATGAACCTATCTGAAAAGCTACACTATTTCCAAGATAAATAGCATGTCACAAAGCTATCATTCTTTCCATTCTAGCAGCATCTTCAGGTTTTTATTTACACCAAGGGCACTCTGCTCCCAAGAACTTGTAACGCAAATGGCTAGTTTCAACAAAATTTTACAGAAGTTTCAGGGATCTCTTTCATGAAAGTTGTAGTAGTAAGAGTATCCACCACACTAAAATGAGAGAAATTGGTGACCCCACCAAGATGGACGTCTATTAAGTGTGTATTTTCCTTCTTGGCATTAGTCAGCAAGCACTCTGGATGCATACAGCTACAGAGCACCTGCCGCACAGTTTGAAGGGGGGATGTGACAGGACATCTTGAGAGGGTAGAAGGGAATGATGATGTTTTTGTGGGAATCTGGACAAAAAGATAAAGTGCTAGAAACCCAAGTTCCACTAATTTGCATGATGATGAGTTTCTTTTTTCAAAGGAAATGGAAAAAACTACAGAACACAAGCTCAAGAAAGTTGCGCTGTTTTATATTAAGTCCATCTTCTTCCTATCTTAAGACTAAAGCTAACAGTGGAAGTTTAACATGTATTGTACAGTCTACCACTATAGCCCCACAAAACAGAGTTTAAGGTACAATAACAAATACTGTATTAATTAAAAGAAGATTCCATCATTCAAAAGAAGGGCTCTGCTGTCTCAGACCAATGGCCTATCAAGACCAATTAACTACAAATTCACTGTGAATTAGAAGAGCCCATTTCAAACACTTTTTAAGAAGTTAACAACTTCCAATAGCTTTCCTTTCAAACAAATGGTATAAATAATGTATCAGACAGGAATAGGTTCAGTTAGTTAGGTGTTAGTTATCTTTAGTAGAGAAGTCTCTCCTGGTTAGTCTGTACTAATCACACTGTCATTTGAGATAGCACCTGAATAATTTCCAAATTATTTCTGTTTAAGAATTTCATAGATGAATTTTCTCACAATTCAAGATCTTGTCGGCTTCCTGTTGTGTTGAAACAAAAATGCGTAAGTTGATATTCAGCTTGCCTTGTAGGAGGAGCGCTTGGGCTAGAGGGAGGGGGAAGAAAGTGTGTTATATTCAGAACTCTTTATATAGAGGACTGCAGTCAGACAAGACAGGCTTAAGTGATTTAACAAATTTCTGCTGTTCAAGGGCTGCTCCCCTTGCTCAGTCACAGGCCTCTCTCTCTCTCTCGCATTGCTTTGGCACTTATCTAGTTCTTTGCTGAACTGACTCATCATGCCAATCTGGAGAAATACTAGCCATGATAGTTTTCTGTCATATTAGCAGTTGAGTTGGTTCGCTAAGAGACTAGATGAGCACCAAATTCAGCACAAGAAAGGTAGCAGAGCACAGCCTTCTTCTTTTTGGCATCAGCAAACTCCAAGATCAGTTTAGCCATCTTGTTCAGCTGAACCACCAGTCAGTACTTGTATTTCTTTATTTTCACATGTCAAAAAAGTTTATTGTTAATTTTAATGTGTAGTGTACTGCACAGGTTTGTAGCTCCTAAAAAGTAGATGTGCTTGAGATTTTTAGTGAGCAGTCCTTTTAAAACTCCAGTTAAATACAGTGATAAAATAAAACCTGAAAGCAAAATTTGTGGCTCTGTTCCCCGACTTTTTCTAGTACAGTAATAAACATACTTTTATATGGAACCAGTTGATTACAATGTTGGTTATCAACTCCACATACTGTTGTATATTATGTAAAATCTTCTGGTTATACGAAGTTCAACTCTTTTATTGAAATTTTAATTTTTTTAAAACATTTTAATAAATTGAAACACACACACACTTAAGTACTACACTTAAGAAGGCATCTACTTGAGAGGTTTCTAAATATATACATGTATTAGTAATTGTATTAAATTTTTTAGGTAATAATCTTCCCATGTATATTCTTGCACCTCTGATAGATGTAACTTACTGATATCCATTTTTTCAAGGACACTTTAATCTCTCAATTGCTGAACTCAATGCTAAAAGACATTTAACAGCTGTTTGCAGCAAAGTCTTTAAAATTGCCTCTTACAAACTGTATTGACCACTGGAATCATAGAAAAGAAGAGCAACAAGCCTATAGTTACATGCAAAGGCCATCCTCAGAACACCCATAGCAAGGCCTATGTTTCATGATACTAGTAAGAAAAGCTATAATAAGAAGTTGTCTCTTCTATAGCTCATTACACGATATGCAGATCACAAAGTGGCTAGAACAAACTTAATACAAATTGTTGGACATATATTTTGAGTCATAGAGTTGAACTGACTTCTCTGAGATCACACAGAAGAATCCTTAACAATGGGGGGTGAGGGGGGGAATCCAGACCCAACCATCAGAGACAATGACTCAAGTTTTATTTATAACTTTCCAAATGGTTTAATAACAAATAACATCAACTTGTTACAGTCTCAGTATCTAATGCCCCATGGAGCCAGTGACAGTCTTAATCTAAATAGTCTTGTGAGGTCTGCAGTCAGCCTCAATGTAAATTAAGAGGCATCAGATGTCTGTTGAAAGAGGTTTTAACACAGATTTCCACCCCCACCCACCAGTGAAATACAGATTGACTAAAATGGGTCTTCAGTGTCACTGTGCTTGATATAACAAAGCAGAATTTTCTTCACCATGAATTAGGGAATCTTCATTTAGTAAAAATAAATTGTTATATTAAACATATGGATAAAGCATTATTAACACTGGTTACAAAGGATGCACCATTCAACAACTGAAAGCAAATAAATAGTTCCCGGCTTCAGAAATACCATCTGAGAGGGGCATCATATCACTTCATGACTACGTAGTTGTCAAAATTTTAATTCAAGGAGAAATAAAATTATAATATTAAAATCCTTAATGCCTTATAAACACAGCTTTTTGTCTGACCAAGTGCATGTCCAAGGCACCTCAGTCAGCCAAATTACCTCATTCTTTCTGTTTACCTACAGAGGACTGGTCACCCGAGTCAGGCACGCAATCACTTAAAAAAACCCCAGCCATTAAGCAACTCCAGAGCTACCCTAAACAGCAGTAAAAGTGTAGAAACTGATGGAACTTGCAACTACACACAAGGTCTGTAGTATATTGCAAAATTTCTGTTTATTCATAAACAGAAAGATCCTTTAGAAATTAAATAGTGTAAAAATTTTAAATCAAAACTTAAAAAGTCCCAAGCGCTGTAACTACCAGGTCTTTGTTTAAAGTAATAAAGATATTCAGAAATAAAGTCCCTCAAAGTGAAAAAAAAAAAAAATATTTCCATTTCATTCAAGTAAAGCACCAAGGACATTAAGTGAAGTCACTCCTCTGAACAAGAGAAACCCAGAAGCTTAGTCTTCCTGGCAGATAAGCAAGAACTGTTTTGGGTCCCATGCAAAGTAACATAGTTTTTCTGGCCTCAGCAAATCCTTGCATAAGTCTGCGTCCTTATGTTTACTGACAGCACAGAAACAATAAGCAGTCAGCATCAGGGGGAGAAAAAGGCAAAAGGCATCCTATGGGACCTGGAGAATTATCCTAACTACTCCCCAGTCCCATTGATAAAAAGGGTTGCTGAAACAGAAAATATTACCACCCTCAGGTTACAGTGAATTAACTATTTTCAGAGTCTTTTTCTACACATGCAAACCACAAATATGTAGCTACAATGGAAAAAGCTGATAGGACATCATCATCAGGTAAGAAGCTACATTAAAAAAAAACATAATAAAATTCAGTGAAAGTCCCCAGACTTTTCAAAGTAAAAAAGTGTAATAACCCCACATTGTGTAAAAGCAAAAAATAATCAAGCACTCACTTTTTTATTTCTCGGAGGAGCATCCGAATAAGGATGGCCTGCAGTGGCTCAATCATTAATTTTCTCCACATATCAAGAGCTAGCTGTCAGGACACAACACAAGTTTACATCAATAAAAAATACAAAAAAAATCCCCCAAACAAAACCAAAGATAATGCAATTCCCCACTCAGGATTTTAAAAATTAAATTGTTAGATACCCTCTTCTTTCTTCTTTTTAAATTCTTTTGTTTGCCTCACATGCACACAATTTGTCAATATATTAATATATTACTTACTATTTTTTCTTCTAGAATATCTGACTGCATTTGGATGAAGATCACACAGGTCAGTACACTAGCAGTATCAGACATAAAACTTCTAGTGAGGCGGTGTCTGAATGCATGCTTCCCAGTCTGCATGCTTCCTACACATCTAACAGGACTGATTTATTCCTTGGTTCCTCTCTATTAAGCATTCTCAAATGCATAAGGACTCTAAGCAAGTTGGTTACAAGGGCAAGTTTTGAGTATACATTTTAACAACAAAGCTGCACAGTAATAGGTAAGTAACATGCCTTTCTACCTGAAGTGTTTGAAAGTGTGCAGACACTGGTATTTTTAAAAATGGTGGCAAAATAAGCCTCAGTTGACAAAAGGAAATGTCTCTTGGTCAGTTTGTCAGAGGAACCCTTATATCCAACACACAGAGAGCATCTCCAAACTAAGATGCATACAGCTTAAGCAAAGTCACTGGCAAACTAATATTTCACTTAAATGGAATTCAGATCACCTTCATATTAAGGATAGGTCACCCTATTCCTAATATATAATTAGAGGAATCAGTCAAATGGATGCAAATATCTCAAACTCTTGTGGATGAAGTAATTGCTCCCAAAACACATAACTTTTAAAAACACAGCTGCAATTGTTCAAAGGAGCTTTTATACGTAATTCAAAATCAGATTTAAAGCCCAAAGGGGATAATGTGATCCCTTATATGGAGGGAATATCCACACACATTTGAGACCTCTAAAAGCAGCTGCCAGTGAGTAGTAAATCAGGAAAAAATGAAATGCCCAAAATCAGTGAGGACAGAGGGATTATTGCTGCCAAGAAAGCTCTGACACAACTAGCAGGTCCTCAGCTATAAAAATCAAAATATTGATCAGGTATGTCTTAACTGAAAGTAGGCATCTAGCTATCAACTAGGTATGTGATCTGATCAACTTTGTGAAATAGATCTTCCTTTTAAAGAGCAGACAAATGAACTTGCTCTTTCTGTCAAAGCTATCCAGCTACCCATGCTGTAACATGGGGTACAGAAGTCCGGGAGGTAAAGCTGATCCAACTGCATCATAAGCAGGTTCAAAGAAGAGGTAAAAATTTGCTTATAATTCAAAAGCCAGATAACATTTTGAAATCAAAGTTGCCTTAGAAGTGATTTTCACTGTCTTGCCTTATGAAGAGTAGTAGTCAAACAGTTAGAGGAAAACAGTTTACTTAAGACATCAGAAATTCATCCAGCAGAGAATGCTGAAAGAAGCTAGTTTGGGGTGGAGGCGGGGAGGACTGACATGTTTTGTGACTATGAGGTGAAAGGGATGACCTCAGGTAACTCTGTTATGCAACGTGGTCTCTGAAATGCAGACTCTAATATGGTCCCTCTCACATGCGATCTACCAATCTGAAACAGCTTCAGGCTGCCTGTTGGAATTTTCTTGTCAAGTGAACTACAGACAGGTCAACCCAGCAACTGATATATTAGTTCAAGAGACTTTTTTTCTCCTTGAAGAGCAGGACTGATCTTACTTTTCATCTAGACTGACAATACAGAATATGGCAGTTCCTTCTATTTTCCAGAATCTGTTGCCCCACAATGGGGAAAAAACCAGTAGGCACATCTTAACTACCTTCTGTCTCAGGGGTCCCCTAGAGTCACTGAAAACTCAGAAGTCTGAAATCGGTGATTGGAACTCAACTCAGAAAAGTAGTATCCTTTACCATGCATTCATAACATATGGACACCAAAAAAAAAAAAAAAAAAAATCTCTTGCAAGCACTGGCAGACTACTTTGATCAACTGATCTCATCCTGTATTTTTCCTAGTACAACAATTACTGAATGTCTGGAATTCTTATCGGGATGATAAACTGTTTGAAGCCATGCCCATACACATAACATATGCACCTCCAGTCTCTTGTATGTACCTACTGTTACACACCCCAGAAGAACTAAGCAAGCACGTACTCGTTTAAGACTATTGAAAGCCTCCCAAAGTTTCATTAGCAGACAGGAATGACGCTGAGACAGAAACTTCAGTACACAGAGTACTGTTCTGCTTCTACAAATTCTAAATACTGGGCATTGTTTCTGTAACTTCATGCTGAGACCGAAGAGAACTATATATAAAAATAAATGTATTTGCTCTTAGGTAGATAAAGGACAGCTCATCTCAGTCATCCAGAAGGGACAAATGGTAATTCCTTCCATTCTAAAGTGATGAACAACTGAGATGAAGACTTTTGTGAAAGCCACTAGTGCAATCCAAAGAATAAATGACAGAATCCTAGACAGGAACCATAAAGAGAAAATAGTTTCAAACCAAAGGCTTCGATAAATTCATTGAACACCTTGCAGGTCAAAAAATGTGAACTAATTTCATTTCTGCAGCAATGAATTTGCCAAAAACAGTGCTACAATTTAATGCACTTAAAACTACTTGAGTGTAGGACTCAAGCCTCCATTCCTTTTGAGGGCAAAAGAGTAACTGCCATAAACATAATCCTACACCAGTAATGAACAGAGATTAACTTTACTGCCTCCAGATCCAAAATTTACCTCCCGCTACTACAGACCACAAACGCATTATTTGGTAAGAAGAAATGGAAGGAGGCTTGGGGATTGAGATAATGAAACACTCATTAGTAGAATTCCAGACATCATCATCCAGAACATCTTTGCCAAAAAACAAAGGTTGCCAGCTACAGTTCAAGAAACTTGACCCTCCCCATGACCTGCTAGGGATGCAACATCCTACGAACAATTGCTGGGAAGATTGAAGAAAAGCGTGCGTCATTGTCCTGCCACTCCATCTACGATTCTATAAACACAAGGAAAACTTAATACTCAAAAAAAGCTGAATTGTCAGGTATCCTGTTTGTTTTCCTCTGGTAAATACATCCTAGGGCAGAAAGCTATGGACAAAAGTTGCCACTACCACCCTTTGGGTGACACCTCAGAACGGAGCAGCACACTGGAATAGGGGGAGAACTCATTAATACATCAGCATCACCCAGCCCCAGGAAAAAGCCCAGAACTATTCCCAGTCCCTAAAGCAGCTAAATTAACAGTCATTCGCACAGAGCTAAGGACTACTGCTGACACTCATGGGAACAGTGTTCCTCAGTCTGAGGAAATAAGGAATAACATTTACGCCATTTTGAAGACACCACAAACAGTGCAGCAATATGCACTTCCAAACTCTGATAAGCCTTTAAAGATGCCACTGATTAGCAAGCCTTGCAGATAGCACAGCACAAGAGAAGAATTTCCTTTCTTGAATTGCCTTGACTTAAAGTATCTTGTGTTTCTGGTGCTTTTTTCAGCCCACCACCAACCTGTCAGAGAATCAGCAATTTCAATTGGCAGTGCTGTCTTCATGAGCCAGATCAGAAGCACAGAAGACGCTTCTTCCTGCATCACAATCTCTCCTTACTCCTAACTAAAGGCAGCACAGATCTCCTACTTAAAACAATTAAATCCAAGAGCTAGAGCAGTAACAACTAATAGGTCAAGTTCTGATATTAAGGAAAAACAAAAAGTGTTTTCTCTAGCTTTCCAAACCAAAAGAGAAGAAGAACTTTTTGCTTCCCTTTTAGAGAAAAAGGCAAATGTAAAAAGGAAATGAAAAAACCACAGGCCATGACAGTTGATGACAGAATAAAATTAATTCTCCAGCCAGCAGTATGTATACATACAGACACAATGCAAACAGAAGTGTGGCCAGCTGGTCGAAGGAGGGGATTTTGCCCCTCTACTCCGCTCTGGGGAGACACCACCTGGAGTCCTGTGTCCAGCTCTGGAGCCCTCGGCACAGGAAAGACATGGACCTGTTGCAGCGGCTCCAGAAAAGGGCCACCAAAATGATCAGAGGGATGGAACACCTCTCCTATGGGGACAGGCTGAGAGAGTTGGGATTGTTCAGCCTGGAGAAGAAAAGGTTCCGGGGAGTCCTTCTTGCAGCCTTCCAGTACTTAAAGGGGGCTTATAAGAAAGACGGAGACAGACTTTTTAGCAGGGCCTGTTGCGATAGGACAAGGGGTAATGGTTTTAAATGAAATTAAAAGAGGGTAGATTCAGACTAGATCCAAGGAAGAAATTTTTTAGGATGAGGGTGGTGAAACCCTGGCACAGGTTGCCCAGAGAGGTGGTAGATGCCCCATCTCTGGAAACATTCCAGGTCAGGTTGGACGGAGCTCTGAGCAACCTGATCTAGTTGAAGATGTCCCTGCTCATTGCAGGGAGCTTGGACTAGATGGCCTTTAAAGGTCCCTTCCAACCCAAACTATTCTATGATTCTACAGACAAACATTCAAATGAAAAGTTTCTATACAGTTGTAATCAGGATTGTGTTTTTGTTCTGATTCAGACTGAAAAGTTGTTTTCAAAATCTTCTTACAGACACACTAAAACACTTTGTTTTGAAAAATTTCTAAGAATTTTTTTAACTGTAAAACTGTCTTTCACTTTCTTATATTTCATATAGTAGGTATGAAGTGACAGAAACAATGTACACTTCCCTTCTCCATAGCTGAAGCACACAGAGTGGTATCTCAGAGCATAGTCCTACTGCTGACCATTTTTTCATTTTATAGGTATTTAAAAATGAGTCACAGCCTTTCCAATTTACATTAGTAACTGTGTTAACACCCTTCTGTTTGCCCCAAATTACTTAAAAAAAAGACAAGACCTTCCTACATGATACTTTTGTGTACAGAATGTTAACTTTTTTCCAAAATCTGAGTTGCTATGAAAGAAGCTTGCATCAGAAAATAAGATCAGGAAAAAAGTATCGTAGAAGACTAATCTCAAAAAAAAAAAAAAAGGTGTTACACTTTCTGGCATCAATAAATAGAAGCCTGAAAGTAGTATTTCAAGGGTTCAAAAAACAAAATACTACTCCTTCAAAATATTTCTAGATAGTAGTGTCACTTAATAAACTAAAGTTTTTTTTGCAAAGTGGTATCTACTATCATGTTTTAAACTGAAGTTCTCCAATAGTTTTCATATTTACTTATTTTTTTCCCTAGGTGACCGTATTTTTCTACATCAAAACTTCAATCTCATTTTACAAAGGGTTCACTGCTTACATCTTCTACTGTATTTAACTATTCAGATCCTGTGACACAGAAAAGTCAAAATTTAAAAGGACAAAGCTGAACTTGTAGTGCTTCTGAATATAGTTTATATCCACTCCCCCTTTCAGAGATACCTACCTCTCCTATTTCCATCAATGGTTCATTCATATCCACTCCTCCATAACCATACTGAAGATCAGCTTCAGTCAATTTGTTCTTCTTAATAAACTGTGTGTTGAGGTACCTATAGAAATAAAGATATTCTAATCAAAACATGCAAAAGTTAAGCTATTCTTTTTAAATAAATCTGGAATTCTGGAATGTCTTCTACATGACAAGAGATATCCTCTTTCAACCAATGCCATTGCTACCCGTAGGAAATTCTTCAAATACAAATTACTTCAATTTAAAAGATCTCACATCATATTAAAACAGTACAGTGTTATTAATTAAACAGTAGCCTGATATATCACTGCCAGCACTTTCTTGGTGTGCAATATACTCGTGTAAGAATCCAACTTTTCAACATACGCTGCCATATTACTTCTATGCAAAATAACTGCTAAATTCTGAGCAGTTGACTAGTATTACAGTGATAATTTATTTATTTTTAATTAAAATATGTTCCCGAGTATCAGATATTTTTAAGTAAAATGTATTTTCTTCTATGTGTACTGTTTCTTGTTTTGCATTTCTCTCACACTAAAACACAAAGATAGTGTCAATTTTTACAGGGCCAATTTTTGTCAGTTATGGTAAGGCCACGGTAACAAGCAAACATCTGTATTAAAATTTTTACAGATAAAAGAATAATTTGCAGAAATTATTTTAATTAACAGTTATAAAGAAGAAATGTTATAAACACTTTTTCCTATTTTAGTATTTATTACTGTAGGCATAGCTTTTATAAAGAACAGAAGATGGTTTCTGTGCAAGACCTGATAAAATGTCCCTCAATTCTCAGTATTCCCTTAAAAGAAACGCAAAAACATTTTTAAGCTGAACCATTGCCCTTCTCTTTCAGAGATAACTGGGAAAAAATTTCTAGCATCTTTCATAACCATGCTTATAATAATTGTTATGTGCTTACATGAGGTAATTGAAAATTTTTTTTTTTTAAATTCCAATCCAACCAGCAGTTTTGAGGCACCCAGTTTCAGATACTGAAGTGCTTTAAGAGATTCATGCTTCAGAGGCTGCACTGGACTAGTGATCTCTGAACACTTTGGGCAGGAAGGCAAACGACAAGCAAAGGAGAAAAGGAAAAACACACTATGGAAACGTGTGAACTTGAAAGAATTTAGGACACCACAGAGTCCAAAGAAGGAAGACTTGTGATAGTGCAGTGGTGACAAACTGGAACACAGTGGCCTAACCTACTTCCAGGCTACAGAGTCAGAGTACTGCAAATTGCTCTACTACCATCAATAACCATCATAAATTATAAGTGCAGATCAGTGTAGAAGGCTACAGGCCCTCCATTTCATCTAAGACTTGTGTGGACATCCAGAAGAGTTGGAACACAAGCCTTAAGCAGGCATGCTCCTTGATGTGAACCAAGGCAGCAGCTGCCATTCTGCTTTTTCCTGTTAAGCTTGCTAAAAAGGAAAGCCTTATGCTCTCCTCATTCACACCCTCTCTCTTCCATCAGTATATGCCTTCTCAACAAATCCAGATCAGGCAACTGATCCATCTTCAAACTAAGGTAGCCACAAGTAAATAAACAAGTTTAACCTAGATCAGGTACCCCTGCAAAGACCCACCTGAAGCAAGCAAAAACCAGGTGGCAAAAAGCGGGCAGGCAGAACCCCCTGGGGCAACAGTTTCACCACGCTCTGCCTCAAAACCAAAGCCAAATTTGCCCCCATTTCCTCTCCCCTTCCCCTACTTCTACCATCAACTTCCAGAACCAAGCACAAGCACAAGCAAATAACCGCAAAAGATGTGCAAACAGTATAATCTCAAATCAACTTCTCCACTGAAGTCATAAACCATTTTTCACCTTGACTAACTACTTCAAATAGTTCATCTGTATTTCTTACCTTTAGAAGACAATCCATAAGGTTCATCTGTAATTCACTCTGGAGACAAGTATTGGGCATGAATTGGTAATACCAGAAATTACCCACAGACTCTTGCTACTATTGAGATAAAACTTTCAGGTGAAAATTTTAAATAACTGATCACACACCCTCAAGCCCAATTACTCAAGAGTGCACCTGTGCAGGTTTATGCCATTTTCCTCATCAGACACAATGAGGAGATTCAGGTTTGTTTTCTTTCATGGCATTAGCAAAGCAACATACCTTTTGGTACCCAAACCTCAAAACACACCTACCAAGCTTCCACTCCACAAAGAGGTTAAAAAGTTTGCAATTTAGAAGAGTGTTACAAGATTAATTCAAAACAAATACCTACTTTACAGTGGAATACTGAAAGACAGTGTTCCATCTAAATTAACAATATCAGGAAAATGTCTGCTACATGAATATTTTTGTGGGCCTTTTTTTCAGATATAAACAACTTGGTAATTCCACAAAATAAAAGGAGAAGTTCTCTTACAAGGAATTTAGAAAAAAAAAAAAATTTAGCAAAAAATAATTTAAGAATTAGAAGGGTATCTAATTATTGGGACAAGTTACCTGGTAACTTTTATGTATTTGGTACTTTTAAGATCAACCAAGGACAATACTCTAACCACAGATTACTATTCTAAACACATTCCCAAAGCAATGTTTCCACATCTCAATAGCCCACAGTGTCCTTGGGGGGACAGACTTTGCAAAGCCTTGTCAGAAGGATTAGATGTATATTTTTTTTCTTTCAATGTTTTATTTGGTTTTAGTAGTTTGAATTATGTACTTCTGGATAAGAAACAAATATTAGTGTTGGCAAAACAGACATTGTGAAATTCAGCTTGAATGTAACAAACCTAAGAGCATACCTGCCTCAAGCCAGCTCCCGGTTATTTTCTTATGTTCTCCATGATAAACCCAAAAGAATTTACTTCCTTTAAGTCTTTGTCCATCCATGATATGACACCACAAAACAACACATGTGATCATGTATGTTTCTAGAAGTACCATACTTTTTTTAAGCAAAAAAGGGTAGGTGCCTTTTATTCAGATTTTTTCCTCCTCTGAAAGTTCTCCAAAGATAAAGAAGAAAATTTTAAGTATACGCTTTCTCCCCTGTGCCGCTCCACCCACAGTCAGACTGCTATACTGCTCCCCAAAATGGCATGAGAGTAGCAGAACAGTATGCAGTTCTGCTAGAACTGTATAAACTTGACCAAGTGCTGAGGAAACTTCATTCAGAAATTTGCACCTGCTAACTATTTTCACTGGTCACTGCAAGTGCTCATGGCCAGAGAAATGGATAAAGATCCTATGTGGCAATATCATTCACTCTTCAGATGTATAGGAAGCACTTAAAAAACACTAAAAAAATGAATTAGCTAGGACTAATTATTACAGTTAGTTTTTAGAAGCATTAAGGTTGTTTTTCAAGATTTTCTTCAATGTACCACTTAATTAAATTGCTTTGCAAGCTACAGAATGCGTATGCAACCACATGACAAAGGCACAAATGAGTAAATTACTGTATAATAGGAATTCGCAATTGTATTAATGGTTTCAGTAATTTCCATGTGCATTCAAATGGTCAGTGGCCATATCCAGGGACCAGTTATGAACAGCGTTCCTCATGGGTGGCTACTAAGGTAGCAGTTTGCCTTGCAGAGCCAACAGTGAACCAACCACCTCCTCCGCTGCATTAGGCAGAGCGTATCAGCGAGTCAAGAGAGGTGACTGTTCCCTCAGCACTCGTGAAGACATACTTGGAATATTACAACCAGTTTTGAGCACCCAAATACAACAAATCTGGACAAATGGAAGAGCACAGAGAAAGCTCACTGAAATAGCTAGGGTGCACATCATGAGACATACATAAGATGAAGATAAACTCTTCTCAGAGGAGCACAGACAAGAAGCAATGGACACAAGCTGCAGCATGACAAATTCAAAACAGACATACAGGACAATTTTTTAGAATGAGAGTAATCATGCACTAACATAGGCTGCTCACAAAGGCAGCAAAATCTCTGACCTCAAAGGAGCTCAGAATTTGACTCAACAAAACCTTATTTAGGACCAGAAGCACTCAAGCGCTCAGAAAAACTGTTACACAAAGCAGAATCAGTGAGATTCATACACATTAAACAGGTTTTTTTTCTTCCCCCTCTATCAACTCTCCAGTTAAGTCAGTGACACATTATGGAACTAAAGTTTGCAAGCCCAGGATGCACTCCATCATGTTTGTTCCCAGTCTGCTAGCAGTAATTTAGTAGATTCTACAAGATCACACATACATCTTCTAACATAATAGTAAAGGTCTTGAAATCCTTTGTCAATCCTCACATCATACCATCAACGAAGTACAATATTAACCGTGCCTCATAAGTTATATTGACCTGCAGGGTATCACATGCATAATGGACACTTCATTCAACCTATAGTCAGAGTGGAATTAAAATCCAAATCCTAGTAAATCCAAAGCCATCTCAATATAGTTAGAATTCTAGCAGCTCATGAATGGGTGAGCTTTATATGCTTAAGCTATCACTAGTAGCGATGAAACATACTTGCAATTCAGGAAACAGTAGAAGTACAAAAACATCAGGGGTTAGTTCCAGTTTTATTTGTAGACTTGGCTGAAATCCACTGAAAACGCTGTAAAACCAATTGCCTGTACGCAGGCTATTAGTTTCTGAAGTTTTCAGAAAAGAAACAAGGACAAATTTTCACTCCTTCTCCAGTCCCTGCAGTTCAAACATTCACATGAAAGAGAGAACCCAAAGAGCATATAGCCTTCATTGAGAAGTTCTAGAAGGGAGAGCTGTGTTTTTGCCAGGTGCATGGCTAAACTTTGAAACAAACCATGCTGGTTCAACTGGACATGTCAGTACAATGTCTTCCTTGCAGAAGGACACCTAGGATTATGAGCTACTTCACTGTAGGGTTGATTAGCACCAACATATTTGGCACTGCAACATCAGAAACAACAGAGATAGAATATATTAGTAATGAATAATAGGAATAATCTTCAATAATGACTTCAGTGGTAAGGGGCAGTGCACAAAAAACATGTTGGAGCATTATTCCTTTTTTCTCATGTTCTGCTACTACATTCTCTCCAAAACTGACCTGGGGCATATTCAGCTATTGCTCTCTTTAAGCAACATTCTTAGACTTTAGCTGCAGTTCATTGTAATAATTTCAAAAGTTTAACAACTCATTTGCGAATCTTACCTGTATAAGCAGTCCATATAGTCTGCCCCTTTGCTATACTCTTCCCAGTATCTGTGATACATAACCAGTACTTGTTCTTCAGCTTCCAGAACTCTCTGTAAAGACAGACACACACACGCCACTAAAATTAGTATGAACATAGCATACATACGTAGAAAGTTATAACACAATTATCATTTCGGAATAACAATCACAGATTCAAAATTAAGACCACACCTAAGCTTTAACCAGTCTAAAAAAAAAAAAAAAACTAAAGAAACCAACAACAATGTTGCAATGACCAGAAAACTAACAAATATTCGTACTACAAAGTTTGGTAGGCCAGCTACACCACCTGAAGTTGTTTTATTTTGCATTTAAGAAGAACAACCTTTACAATGTATTATTTTCTATTTGTCTTTACAGAAGTACTTCCTTGAATAAGCATGGTTCATATTGTCATATCATACTGGTGGGATAACTAGCATAACTATTCCCTCAGTGAGACAGATCAGTTTTAAATTCATGCAGCCATGTGCACACTGGAAGAGTTGCCTAACTATAACCCCTTAAAATGCCTTACTGGTTAGACAAGTCCTTGTACTTACCAAGAATCCTGGAATAAAACAAGTTTAACAAAGCGCAGATGTGTGCAAACGTAAACACATCCTAAGTTCCATAAATATAGGCCCAAATCTTCTGGAGTTTAAGCAAAACATCATCTAAGTTGCTGATGTACTGAACTTCTCCAAATATATTCACACATCAAAGGAATAAATCATACTAATTTGTTTAAATTGTTGAACTTGTGAAGGAGGGTGAGATCCTAGGAATTAAACTATAATTCTTTCTAGAGTATGTAATTTTAAACTCCATCTCATGCAGCAAAGAACCCTATGCAAAAATAATGTAAAAGAGGAAAGCTACTAGACAAAACATAATTGAGAGTGCTTTCCTCTGCAGTATGAATTTTGACAAGGTTTTCCAACATTATTTCAAAGACAAACGGTGGCTAGCCAATTTAAAAAATGGATGTATAGTTTCCACTACTTCCCATAGCTTCTACTGTGCTGGCACCTGCCTGAGTGTCCTAAGTGAGATCATTCAGCTCACTAAATAAATGAAGAACTTTTTTTGGCCAAGCTGTCTGCCAGTTTAGTGAACTTATTTAGTCCACCAAAGCGGTAGGGGTATCCCCTCTGCAATCAGTAAAATTACCCATTAAGACACCCAGCCTATCTTGTCAGATACACAGGTACCTAAGCTCAAAAAATAGCATCAAGCTATTTAGCAGTACTATCTGGAACTTGCAATTCTTCATTCCCAATACAGACAACAAAGACAGGCAAAAATCTTATTTACATCTGCTTTTCTTTTTACTGAAATACAAAGGGACACTGTTCATCCATCCTACATATTCAACATGATGAATCATGATTCTGTTGAAATTACGTGCCTTCACTGATGAGACAGAAGTTAATTCACAGCTATATAGGTATACAAGTATTGTTATTTGACATAATAAATAATTTGCCATTACTTCCTCCTCTCTCAAGCGTTTTTTTTATTTTATTTCCCATGTATTTCAGAAGTTTTCTTTAGTAGAGTATATACAATCAGTTTCCAAGACACTAGAGTAGACACTTTTATATGTGTTGCATATATATATATACACACACACACAGAATATATATTCTGTCTCCGGAACTGTCATCTGTGATTCAGTCTCATAAAATCTGCATACCTTCATACATACAAAACAAACAAAACCCCTCCCTGAAGTCAAAAAAGGACACACAATACCTACATGTACATCAGTAACTGTATAGGTTACCTTGTGCAAATGGCGTACGTGATTTTCCAAAAAAATTTTAGTCTCAGTATAAAGTCTCTCTCCAAGAGGTTCAGGATAGGCCACACACAAAGCATAAATGTCTCTGCACTCAGAGTCAAGGTTTGCATCTGCTTAAAGTGTGTAAACTTATCAACAAAATTTAAGATTTACAGAACCTTTTTCTCCCCCTCACACACACATTTTAGATCTTTTTTTACAGTTGAGCACAAGATAAAATGGATTGTTTTCAGAAATCAGTGTAAGTCCTAATTTGTGAAGAATTTAAGTTTTCAGTGTCAATAATAAATTCTAAGTAGTGGTAGCTGAGGCAATGTTAGAGCTAAGATCCTGGAACTTCTGGTAGCCCTGCATTGACATGGCTTCTACCACTTATTTGCCATCTATGAATAACATATTATTATCTCACAGTAAAATTTCATCCAAAATTCTTCCTCTTTATCTGCAGCCAAAGTGAAATCAAGAAGAATGGTTAAGAATGTGATTAGCCAAGTATGGAGCACAGCAAACATGTAGTTAAGCCAAGTTCAAAGCTCCCCCCCTCCAAATACAAAACAAGTTACTGCCCTTGCATATTCCCCCCAACTCCACAAAACAATTTTGTGGGACACTGGAAATTAAGTCATAACAATGGTGATGTGAATGCAAAAACTTTGTTTTATTTTTAACCAATATTACCATTTCAGTACTCCTGTTTAGATCACAGCCACACAAAGCAGTTACTGCTCACTTAAATGGGGAGCAGCAAACAGTTAAACCCCTTCAGATGGTTTTGTCCCTGAAGCATCTTGCAGAGCTACACCTTTGGTCTGTAAGGTTTATATCCAGTTTAAAAAAAGTCACTTGATACTTTGTCAGGAAAAGAATTTATGATTCAGAACTTTGCTTTAAGGAAAGTCAAGCAAGGATTAAGTCAAGCTTCAGATGAACAACTGTGGGAAATAAATTAGTTCTGCAAAAATCATTTAAAAACATCATGCTTATCCACTAAGTCTAGGCATTTTATAAAGCCAGCCATACTAGAAATAATGATTTAGTATAGATTACTTTTTAAGGTATGCTCTTCAATTAAGAGAAGACTAAATATCAGCTTGCCTCTAGTCTACCTTAAAAAAAGCACATGCCTGTGTAAAAGGAGGTAGAAGATATAAGGACAGTTGACAAGTCACCTGCTTAGCCTACAGAACAGCCTCAAGCTTTCATCACACAATTATTCCCAAAAGCACGTTTCATTTTTATACAGAAGTACTACTCAAAACAGAGAAGATACCGATGTAGGACAACTAAATGGAAAAAGCCTTTATTTGGCAACTGGAATCTTGGAGAGCCTAACTGGAGTCTAATCTCAAGGACAGTTATTTCATCCATAGAGATCATCTTTATCAGATATCTCCTCAGAATGGCAAGAAACATTAAATCGAAACCCCAACAAACAAATCAAATTTTGTCAGTCTAAGGATGATCTGTAGTCGAATGCATCCTCAATATCATTCAGATAGCCAGCCTCTTCACTAGGCCAGTAAGATATTTCCTAGAAAGTAAATTCCAGAATTAGAAATCTTTGTAAGCTACTCACAAACAAAGAGGACACTACTTTTCTCTTTAGATCCACAACTACACTATGTGAATCACCAAAACTGTTACGGATCTCTGCTACAACTACTTACTTGGAAGTTAGAGGAAACGACGAGGCTTCAGCACAACAGCACAAGAAAATAATAATGGCAGATTATCTGATGAAAGCAGAAAACAAGTATATCTGAACTTATATAGCCTCTGTGCCCTAGGCTTCAGTTAGGAGTCCAGATGACCTCACTGTTTGTTATGGTTTCAGCTGGGATAGAGCTGGTTTTCTTCATAGAAGCTATATGAGGCTATGTTTTGGATTTGGGATTAAAATAATGTTGATATGTACTGACGTTTTCAGTTGCTGCTGAGCTGTCAAGGACTGTTCAGCTTCCTGTCAGCGAGAAGGCTGGGTGTGCATGGGAAGCTGGGATGGGACACAGCCGGGAACAGCTGATCCAGGCTGGCCAGAGGGATATTCCATACCATACGACGATGTCATGCTCAGTACATAAAGCTGGGCGAAGAAGAAGAAAGCAGGGAATGTACAGAGTGATGGTGTTTGTCTTCCCAAGTAACGGTTACGCGTGATGGAGCCCGGCTTTCCTGGAGATGGTTGAACACCTGCCTGCCCATGGGAAGTGGTGAACAAATTCCCTGTTCTGTTTTGCTTGCGTGCACGGCTTTTGCTTTAGCTACTTAACTGTCTTTGTCTCAATCCACGAGTTTTCTCACTTTTTCTTTTCTGATTCTCTCCCCCAACCCACCATGGGGGAGCAAGCAAGAGGCTGTGTGGGGCTTAGTTGCCAGCTGGGGCTAAACCATGAGACTGTTCTAAGCAAGTTTCTCAGTTGTAATAAACCTGTGTAAGAACAAAAATAGTATCGACATTCTTTCATGAAAATGCACATCTTCCAAACGTGCCTTTCCTTATTCTAAAGGAGAGTCAAATTTTCTTGCAAATGAACAAAGCTGAATCTAGTCTTCTTCCTTGAAGACTCAGTTTGCATACTTGCTGAAATTAAACAGCTTAATCACGGAGGCACTTCCACAGGCACCTCACACTTTTCCCTGTATCAACTACATGATAAAAATCAACATCAGATTCTACTAGCAAGTAGAATAGGATACTAAGTTTCTCTGGATTTCTACAAAAAAGAGCTACCATGAGTCTCGAAAACATATTACAGAGTAGCTTTGCTACAGAAAGTTCACATTCTTCCTCAGTTTGTACTAGTTTATTCATAGAATCATTAAGGTTGGAAAAGACCTTTAAGAACATCAAGTCCAACCATCAACCCGACACCACCATGCCCACTAAAGAGTGTCCCGAAGTGCCACGTCTACAGGTTTTTTGAACACCTCCAGTGATGGTGACTCCACCACCTCCCTGGGCAGCCTGTTCCAATGTTTCCCCCTCCTTCAGTAAAGAAATTTTTCCTAATATCCAGTCTAACCCTCCCCTGGCACAACCTGAAGCCATTTCCTCTAGTCCTTTTGCTAGTTCATCTAACCATATCCTTCAGTCCAGAATCCAAATTTAAGTGTACTGTTCAAAATGTTGTGACTCTATTAACAAAAAATCTTTGAGGGGAGATGAATCATTAATCACCACTGGTATTTTACTCCACAGACTTAAAGTACATTTCTTCTGTGCTGCTGCCCCTTAGAAGATCAGGAAGAAGCCTTTGCTGTTCAATTATTTATCTTTAATGGTGAAAGCCATCTGTCCTTCCAGTTCAGCACACAGTTTTGCAGGGGTGAGAAAGCTCAAAGGAAGCTGAAGCCAAACCGCTGCTTAGGGGCCTTCATTCTATGTTGAGAACAAGAACATCAAAAGCCTCGTGCGAATAAACCTTGTGCGATTTAAGTACTCCAGTAGTTGGTATTTGAGGGGCATTACCCAGCAATGGGAAACTGAAGCAATTCCAAACTTACAAGAAAAAAAATTACCATCAACAAGAAAATACTGTTTCCAAGGCCATAAAAGCTCACAAATATTGTCCTCAGGGTTAAAAAAGCATCTAGTTAAGACCATATATTAGCAGAATGTTTTGCACAGATTTTCTCTAGAAGGCCAAAGTAGTGCTTTTGCAAAATTTCTGTGATTGCTGGTCTTCCTCTGCACCAGAATCAAAATTCATAGAGCACTTGAGGACTCACAGTCAGAAAGAATGATGATCATTTGAACTTTATTTACTCTTCCTGCTCTTTGGGTTGGTTCTTATGTTAAAGATATATGTTTCTAAGTTTCTGGTTCATTATAGGATCCTTGTAAAACAGGGGATTAGAGGAGAGAGAACAAACATGCAGAAAAATGGAAAAAAGCTGGTGGCCATGCTACCCACTTAAAATAATTCTGTTTGCAGTACAGCTACCTTCCTCTCTGGGTACTGTTCATCCTATTTACTTGGTTGGTGGAAAACCCAAGACAACAACAGGAACATCCTGGTGTTCTACCTGTTCAAAATAGTTCTACTGCTGAAAGGTAATTACCAAAGTACAGATGAACTACCATTCTCTAATCAAGCTTGATCAGCCTCTTAAATTTAAAAAGCACTCCCTAGCCTACTAAACAGTTAGAAGCAAAATCTTAGAAGTTATACAAAGCATTCATAATAACCAAAATATCGTAAACACTATCTCAAATAGAAGGACATAACTGTCACTCATTTACCAAACAATGGAACAACTCCAGAAACATTTCTTTCTGCAGAGAACCTGAAAGGAAATCTGAAGGTCAAAGGTGGCTCAAGATGACTCACAGTTTAAATAAAGTGACATATGGTCTTCCAAGTGATCTTTTCCAGTAGATTTTAACTCTTAGACAGTTGTGGTTCCCAGCTCATTGCCATTCTAGCATTTCAAGTTTGAGGTAAGCTATATTTAAAGATAAAATTACCATCAGAGTTACAAAGACAACATTATATTCAAGACAAACAAGTGCTGGGGAAGTAGCAAGGCAAAAATTAGTTCCAGACATGGAATATGCACAGTACAAGCCTCTCACCTCTAAAACACTATTAGTCTGCACACACCATTTGATCTCAGCTGTCTCAAGCAGCACAAGAGAAAGCAATCACTTCTTAGAATACACTGCTGCAGACTGAAATCATGATTCTTTGCTGTATCTTATCCTTTGTTTCCACATCATTGTTTCAACTATAGACTACAAAAATCAAGCAGTACTATAATCAATGAAGTAATCTGTATGAATTTCATTAAGATATAGTTCAAGTCATTTGTCACCTTTTTATTTTGCTTATTATACAGCAAGAAAAAGTTAAGATGACATTTCTTTTAAATTCCCTGTAGATGTTTGGAAACACATTACTCCAACTAAATTGAATTCAACAGAGAATAAAAAGCTGACAAAGAACAAGATGTATTTTTTAAATGCCACATCTTCCTAAAACATATAATTAATACTTTAGTTTCCTTTATATATTTAAAATGTGATAAAAGGCTTTCACATCAGCTCTATAGAACTACCAGTTTCACTAAGTTGTTGAATACTCAGTGAGCAGTTTGTGTTAAAACATACAGTTTGGTTAAAGGTAGCAGAAGTGGTAAACAACCAACATTTAAGCTGGAAAGTCACATAAGCTCCTCAGGCCATTCAGCCATAAAGAATAAGCCAAAAGGCTCTTGCCTGTGCCAAATTAGGCACTAATAGTGCCACCTTCCAAAGAACATAATTAGGAGCTGATAGTAAGTAAGGTCTTAAGAATTACATGCCAAATGATTCTTCCAAGACTGCTTCCTCTGTCTGCTATTCATAAGCATTCCCTTTCTGATGTTCGATCAACTGGAGTAAATCCCAAAAGAGGATCAAGAGCAGACTTGTGTATGAGGCCTCCACATAAGAAGTTCTAAGTGAAACAGTGTGACAAGAGGAATGAGTCCAGCATCTCATTCAATTATTATTTTAGATTTAAATCTATTTCAGGTGCCCTTGTTTAAATGTTTTGAGTTTTAAGCTACAGAAGTTAACCACTTATTGAAGAGTGAAACATGCAGTTCTTAAAAACTGCTTATAAAGAATGACTACAGCACAGTTTGTTAGCACATAAGTGCACAACTAACTAATTCAAAAAGTCTGCGAATTTTTGACTCATTTGAACTTGACTCCAAGACAAGGTGAAGAGTCATGCCCCCAGAAATTAATTACAAAGTTTTAAAATGAAAGAGCTCCTTAAAGATTATTGGAGCATAGAACAAGGCTCCCCAAGGACTATGAGCAACTAATTTTTTCTTTAATGTATTTCTATACATGCACACACTCAAAACAGAAGCACATGGGAAATTAATTCTGAGATGTGGTAACACATTCAGAAAGAGAGGAGACTTTAGAGTCTAGCTCCTGCACAAAGAATAAGCTTATGTTGTAAAAATCTATGTATAAGAATCTTCTGAAGAATTAACAAATCAATAAATAAGTCTAAACCATTCTTCCCCCTTGCTGCAGAACAGCTGCGAAGCCTCCTAAAATTCTCTACTTATTCACCACTCTGTAATGGCTAATGAATGCACAGACACAGGGCACAATATAACTGGTCAGAATAGTTACACTTCTTTTAAAGTTGTTCATTGAAACTGAAATCTTGTAAAACATTACAAGTCCATTTTACATGTAAAATGCAAACCTCTCACTATAGCAATATACGTACAGCTGTGACTTGAACAGCAAGACAATATGATCACAGCTAGAAAGAGTAATTATTTTTAAACATAGCTTAACTGTAGGGAATAGAAAGGCAGTAACGGTGGATGGAAAGGAAAAAGGCTTTTTTTTTTTTATAAACCCTTGCTATACAAATGTCTAATATGGTAGTCATCAATACACTTATAAATGCAAAGAGGGAAACATGTTTAAACAGAACCACCTCACCACCACCCCAGATTTAATCATGTGTGTTCTCTGTCTTAGGTGTTTCTCCTGCTACACACACACTTAAGCATACAAGAAAAGCTCATGATCAGAATAAGGGAAATTCAATGCATGTATTTGGTGAACAGCTATAGCACAAGCTAAGTATTAAAGCTACTAAAAGTGAGTAAAACTCAGACTGGCTTGCTTTTTATTTACCACGGTGATTTTCACATAGAATGCTTCCCAAATATGCAGGATTTCCCATCCCTTCCAACATACCCACTGACCCACAGGCTTAATAACAGATACAACCTTACAATGTGCTTCTGATCAAGGCCACTGAAATTGTTTTATAACACAGGCTTTCTCCATGCTAAACATCATACAAACACATTAAGTCAGATTTTCACTTAAAGGATACGAGAAGCGATCATTCCACGTTGCTCTTTCAACATAATCCAACATAACAACAGCTTTAATTGTTGTTAGAAGTTTGTTCCATGTTTCATCAAAGTCAACTACTCGTGGTTTCAAGGACATTGTGGGGCTTTAGTGTTGATCTGCAGAAGAATTAAACATGTCAGATAACATTGCACAATCATTTAAAAAAAATATATTTATTTTGAATTTTTCAATTTAAACTTTGTACATTCTTGCACCACCATGATATAGCAACATGAAGAACACCCACCCCTGCTTCTCCACCCTCCAAAATAAAGCTCACAAGCCCTTATTTTTAACGTTATGGAACATTAATGCTGCATGAATAACCTATAACACAACATCAATTTATCTAACAACATCATGCCTCATGAAGTTCATCACCTCACCAAGCTGCTCATTTAACAGCACCATATGAAGAAAACAACTGTCCGGTAAATTTTTATGCAAAGACTGTTTCAGCTGTATCTGACAGAATTTTGGTCAGGAACACACTGAACGTATTACCAGAGTATTTGAAATCACTACTGTCAGTTTGTAGTCTATGTTCACCTCAAGCTTTCATGAGACATTTCTGGTGTTATATTTAAAAAGCCACAAAACCCAAAAGCTTTGATCAGGATGACAAAAAGAAAAACACATCTAAACACAGAGTGTTATGCAGAGCTTGTGCAGCTTATTGCACTGTGCAGCAGGACAAATAGTGAATTCTTTCAAATAAGACACGGCTTGAAAATACAGAAGCTGTGTTAGTAATTTCATATAAAAAATACTTGAAGAGATTTACTGAAAGAAAAACATTAAATTACTGAACTAAAACTAGGAAAAAGGTAATTTAAAAAAAAGAGGTCCCGAGAGACTACTGTGAAGGCCTCCTCTTTGTTTCTATTTGCCTCTGTCCTATGCACCTAATCTAGAAAGGACCTGATGTGTGACATTCCATGCACAAAGCAAGTCTAGTTCCTGTTCAGAAACACAACATTGTAAGACTAAAATACGTGGAAAGAGTACTTGTATTTCCATTTTAAATAGACAGACAAGTGACTCTTAACTTGCCTTCCCAAATTTCGAAGTTCAAAAGGGAAAAGAGCAATCTAGTGACAAAGAGACTTTTAGCATGAGGCACACCTCTATAAGGGAAAGAATCAAATGTCATGCTAAAAAGCTACTTAGCAACCAGCTTACTATTTTAACCGCTACTGGCTCTTACTTTTTCTCAGGCAGATTAGTTCTCTCATACTGTAGGATATATAGCTTCTCAGTTTAAGAGAAAAAAAAAAAATCAAATGCAACTTTTACATATACAAAATGCCACCCTGACTAACTAACCAAGCTCCTTAATTTCTGTGAATTCAGGAACTGGAGAGGGTTGTTCTCCTCTACCTGCAACACAACAGTTTCCATTTAAAATGTAATCAATGTATTACCCAACCCACTCTTCCTTTGATTTCATAAAGAAACTGAGTAGCAACCAAGTAATATCAAGGAAGTGGTATTATCCTAGTTTTATGAACAGGAAACTTTTTCAAGAACTAAAGCTCAGTAAGTGGTACATAAATACTTTCAGTTCAGTAGAAACATTTTGTTATCTTTGCAACATGGCTATTACCACCTTTAGAAATAACTAAAACCTTCAATCCATGTATGTCAGTAGCAGCTTACTACACACACACACACACACAAAAAAAATCAGTGAGAACTGACAAAACATAGATATCCATCAAAGAAAGTAAGCTGAAAAACACAAACTGATGTAGGTTTCAAAGAAACATGAACCTCAGTAAAAATAAACAACAGTAGAGCTCACTTCCAGGAGTGGGGGAAGTAGTCTTCTAATTGCTCTAATGTTATCCTCCTTCTGGAAAACGAAAGAGTATTTTCAGCTGAACCCAAGAAAAAAATAATCATGGTCCACAAAAAGTTTTTTAAAAACTAAGAAATTCTGGTGGTAATGCAGATACACTTAGTTGAGTGTTACGTTAGAGAGGGCAACCTATGAAAACACACTTGGTACCTCCAAGATAAAAGAACCATTCCTTCACAGATAAGCAAAACTGCAGAGAAGGAAGAACAGTGAAAAAAAAAGTTCTCCCCACAATACGTCATCACACAGAATCAGTAACGCTGTGTTTAATATCACCAAAACCTACTAATACGTAAAGCACTACGCATACCCCTATACTCATAAAGGTATTCTGGGCTTAAACAGTTTAAGACAGAACCGACTGTTATTTGGCATTCTCTTACAGCTTTCCCCAATGTCAATTTAAGCTTGTTTTACAGACATGTCAACAAATGTAGTATAACTTTTTCTGTAGACTCTGGGGTTTTGGGGGTTTACTATGCTTCAGTGCCTGCATTGCGCGAGCTTAATGTCTTGTTACACATGCAAGTAACCACCATGGTAAAAATTATAGCACAGCAGAATATCTACCCTAGGGTTTGTACTATTCAGGGGGTGGGAAACCATACCTGTTTGACAAGCCCTAAGGTAAGCAGATACTGTTGAAATATATTTACACATGAGGATAATGAAAGGATGTTGCTTCCATCGTCTCATTCTTTAAAACACAGCGCTTGTCGTACTGCCTGTATTTGTCCACGCAGATAAATGCAGGGGTTTGGCCAGCGTCAACACATCCCCCAAATTTCCAACCTATCTGACCACCTCGAGACACAGCGTTTACCGGCTAGTGGCGGCTGCACAGCCACGGGCTGGGGCACCCGCCTCGCACAACG